CAGAAGTCTTGTGTTTTGAGATTAAGTTTTAACTATTGTTAGTATTTTTTTTTTTAAGGGTACTTTCAGAAATAAACGATGAAATGAGCATTTTATCTGATATTGATAGTTTGATACTACCTAGAAAAATAATTGCAGCATCAAATATGTCACACTATTCGAAGTAATATAAATATTTGCAATACCAAAACTAACAAATTTAATAAATGGTGGGGTGATTATATAATTCAGAAAAATTATTGATTTCTTCAAGGGGCTGCACGTGCAAGTTCAAGCCGCTCCATGCAAGTTGTAGCCACCCCACACTTCCCAAGCTTTGGTGGGCCCCCTTCCAAATTTTTTTATAATATAAAAACAATAAACATATCTTTTTTTTTTACAAATTTATTCCACAAAAATGAATGGGAACTATAATTATAAATTTTGCATGAGGGCCTTCGTACAAGTAGTCAAGTAGACGTCGAACCGGCCTGTCAAACAACATTTACAATATTATACCAAAATGACGAACCCGAACCGAGAACCGGAACAGGCCTGGAACTAAGTTTTGGCGTGCCACGTTTATTTACAATATTTATTTTGCTATCATCAAAAGTGGGTAATATTTTGAAAAATAAACTACATTTGCCGGTCGGTATATGACTTGTTGGTAATTTTGTCAATGTAAAACAAAATCCATGGAAAAAAACTTATACTAGTGTTCACCAAAGTATTTTCAACCAAAAAAAAAAAAATGTCATCGCCAAAATATTTTCAACGTATAGTATTATTGGTAAATAATTCCACTAACAAATAATTCCACTAGCAAATCACTGTTGGAACTCCAACAATATTTATGTCATACGTAATAAAATAATATTCATGTCATTCTTTATATTATTGTAGACTACATTGTGCATTGGAGATTATTTTTTAATTTCATAATTATAAATTTAATATTCTTCTATATGATTAATAATTTATTTAATTTATTGACATTTGTCAAAATTTATTTTATAAGAACATTAGAGCATTAGAAATATTGTAAGTGAAGTATGATTGGAGTGTTTTTTTCCTTTGTGCATGTCCCTATTTATGGATAAGGAATCCAAGAATTTAGATGGTCAAGTGAATTCAAATCCATATTAGTAAGAAGTGACACAAACTTTTGCCCCTTTTAATATAAATTTTATAAATTGATAGGTCATAGGTGTCCACCCAAACCTCAAAGCACCTCACACATATTTCACCTATTTCATTGTCNTCTCCAATACTAAAAATTCTTGTAAAAAGATAAAACCTTTCACCATCCACCTAACACCTTGTTTGTTCTCCCTTCCTCCAGTTTTTTCTCTATCCTCATTTCTGGTTTTTTACCTTTTTTCTTATCTTCTTCATAATATCACACACATTTGGTGTTTTTTCATGTTTTTTTCTTCGACCTTTCCTCAAAACTTTTACACTATTATATAAACATCCCTAATTTCATTTTTCCTTTTACTCCTTGTCTTTTCAGATTGAACAAAAAAACGGAGCTTGAAGATAAAAAAAATCAGAGAGCTTGAAGAAAAAAACCATGGCGGTCGTTAAAGCGGTCAAATACACCGAGCACTTGAACCGGACCACGGCCGTGGCACGGCCAACGGAGTATTCCGTCTCCGTCGGTGAAAACCCTTCTCCGCCGGAGGCGCCCGCGAGGACGGTGCGCATCTCCGTCACCGACGCCGACGCCACCGACTCCTCCGGCGACGAGGAGGACAGCGTCGGCTCCGTCAGGCGACTGAGGGTGAGGAGGTTCATCAGCGAGGTCAGGATACAGCCCTGCCGCGGCGGAGAAAGCCGCCGCCTTCGTTCGCCGAGGAGGGCGGCGGCGTCGGCGGCGAGCGGAGGCGTCCGGAAGTACATCGGCGTGCGGCGGAGGCCGTGGGGGAAGTGGGTTGCCGAGATTCGGGACCCCCAGCGGCGCGTGCGGCTGTGGCTGGGGACCTACGAGACGGCGGAGGAGGCCGCCATGGTGTACGACAGCGCGGCCGTGCAGCTGCGTGGTCCCCACGCGCCGACGAACTTCTCCGTCCCTTCGCCGGAGGGGCACAGCAAACGTTCCGTGAGGTACAACAACCCCGTCGGCCCGGCGTCGCCCAAGACGGTCCTCCGGTTCTTCTCGGCGCCTCAGTCCGAGGCTAAACCCGGATCCGAACCGGTTTCCAAATCCGGTACTGCCTTATCATCCTCCGGCTGTGACGACGCCGTTTTGAAGAAGGAGAAGGAGAATCTCGAGGAGTTTGCGGGTTTTTCGATGGGCGACGATTCGTTTGGGGACTCGGAAAAACCAGTGGTCACACCAGTACCCGTACCCGACTTCTTTGACAAAACGGGTCCGACGGGCTCTGTTTTGGGGACCACTAGTCATTGTGATTGTTGGGACTGTGGGCCTAACGGGCCAAGAATCGACCCGGAGTTATGGGTCGGTGCAAGTGGAGGACCACTTTCAGGACTTGGGTGAAGTTTTTGGGTCGGATCCACTGGTTGCCCTTTGATAACTTTGAAGAGATAAATTAGTTTAGAATGAGTAGGAATATTTGCTGATTTTTCGGATGTTGTTCCTTTTCGAGTAGCTAGCCTATGTGAAAACTGTTATTTTATGTTTTAAATGGAGATGCTTTTGGTAGCAAAAAAATTGTTACACGAGTGGACTCGTTATAGTTTGCAAACATGCCAAAGTCTAAACCCGAAAGCTTATGATAGCTAATTGATTGACAGGCCAAGAAGTTAGTTCTTCTAATTTAAAAATATGCATGTCTATTGAAATTTGAAAATGTACAAATATCTAACATAAATGCTTTTGGTAGCAAACTATTAGACAAACAGTTTAAAATATGCATATCTATTATTGAATATGTACAAATATCTAACATGAATCATGAATGCGTTTGGTAGCAAACTTGTTTTAATTATTATAGGTTGAAATATGCAAATTTGAACCAAAGGCAAAGATGCTTTGTTAATAGCAAACTATTAGGTAAGTCTCACTTTTATAGTTTGAAAATGTGCATATTTCTCACTTTTTTATATTGATAAAAAACAATTTGGTTCACTTTACTTTCTTGTACAAAAAATGGACGAACAAACAAATTCCTCATCTTTTAATAGTTAAACGAGCAGCTTCACCTCCATTCATCTCTACATAGCTCAACGGCAGTAATGCTCGACTAACCCAATTCCGGTAAAAGAATAAAATTCACTTGGCGATGAGAAAAGAGTGAACTCTTAGACCAACTGAAGAAGTTTGATACTTCCCGAAGAATTGGCGGCAACCACCATATTAGACTTGTGTCTCCAGCAAACACTCGAGACGAATTGCCCATTGCCATCTTCAGATTCCTTACCGGTTATGGGATCAATTGATCCAAATTTGTGGGCAGTAATTGGCATGGGAAGTGATTTGTGGTAGGTGTAAACCTACATGCATATCAAATAAGCTCAATCTATACTCAATTCATACTCAAAATCTAACTCAACTTTAACGCAACCTCACTATCCTCGATATTATCGATATAATTAAATAATATCAACCAATCATTCTTACACATCACATCAACTATAATTTACTATTCATCCACTCGCATAAATTTCAAGTAGCCATCACTCCATATCATCTCTCTCATACTTTTATATCAAATCAACTTTAATTATTTTATTTTAGATATTATTTTAATATAAAATCAAAATCACACTAACAACTAACCATACCACTTTTTCCAAAATTAACCCTGGTTAACCAAAAAAACTCGTTTTGAGTGGATATATTTATATACAAACGCACCCCAAGATTGGACTTGCTCCAGCCAATTGAAAAAGATAAAGGGGTGGAAAAGAAAAACACTCGAGGTGAATGAAATCACGAACACATAGGATAACAGTGGAACATCCATAAATATCACGAAGTTCACAACACGCAGAGGATATGTTCAAGTTCCAAAATGAAAGATCTTTTTTTTTTTTCTTAGGGATTTCGCAGAAACTTTGAGGGTGAGTTAAAAGAGAGAATCACCTCATTCGTCTCTGAACCGCATGCTATATATCCATCAGAAACCGACATGCCAACAAAGTTCTGCAAGAGAAAAATTTTCACAGATTCAGGCAAGAAAAGAACCACAAACGTTTTACCAAACCAACAAACCAAACAGACCTTCTCATTAGTGTGCCCTCTGAGAGTCAACATGCAAGCATGCCTCGAAAAAGAGTCGGTATTAGTCCTCTTTAGATCCCAAACCTTCAATGTATTATCAGTAGATGCAGAGACGATAGTCCCAGCATCCAAAAATTTCACGTAGCTAACTGCTTTATTGTGGCCAGCCAACACACACCAAGGAATAGATACATTTCGAAGATCAAAGCAATATGTCTTGTAATCGGCTGAGCTAAAGGACAACAAGTGAGTGGAATAAGGGGAGAATTGCACGCTGCAGATGTTGGCATTGTTTCTAATCGTGCATAAACTGCTTTTCTGCACCAAAAAGGATAAACAATCAGTTGTGTGAATTTTTTAAAGGAGATGATATAAATATCAGGTAGAGCCGCAGGAAGTAACTATATATAAGTTACGGATAAAAGCAGAATAAATGCTTAGAAAAAAATAAATCAGAAGATTGAAAAGTTGAAAACTTTTAGGAAAAATAAATTGGAAATGGTGATATTTTACTTCATTGATGCTCCAAATTTTCACCAAATGGTCATCACTGCCGCTGGCTAGCTTCATGGGATCAACACGAGAGAAATCAACAGACCAAGCCCTTTCATTGTGCTCCGAGAATTGAGAAAATGCTTCACCAGTTGATGCATCCCACAACTACGAAATTCGGTAAGACAAGATAGCGTTTTAAAACGTCAAATAATTTAACAAAGGAATAGAGCCTGAACTTGGGGCTACACTAACGAGAATCATATACAGTCAGAGGACAAGATAGCGTGCCACAACAAGCCATGTTGAACTAAAGGGGTCACTGGGCCCATCAATTATGTAAGTATCAACGACATGAAGGGTTATATCAATTTATAATGTTAAAAGATAAAATAAAATAAATTCAGGGGAAAAGGTAATCATTTATTTCATTCCTTTTCCTTCCAGCTCATAATTTTTTTCTTTAATTATTCAGCAGTTTTAAAGAGTTAGCAAAGTGCCCTGGTTTCTAACTCGAACACATTGCACAACCAGACAATAATTTGACATTTGGGATAATTCAAATCAAGTCTACCAACCTACCTTCCATTGTAACTTTTCATTTTATAGATTGTAAAACAACAAGCAAAGATATACAAACCTTGACTACGCCATCATAATCCGTTGAAGCAAGATAATTTCTGATGTAGCCATTCCAGCAAATGCAGCTTAGCTTCGACCGATTTGACATCTCAACGGCTGGATAATGAATGTCGACAGAGTTATTATAGAGACCTCGAAATTCAAAAATCTTGATCTTCTTCGATACCCCTCCTGTAGCTAAATACTCTTCATCCCGGTCAAAACTCAAGGAGCAAATCACATTTGCAGAGCTGTTAAATTCCCCATTCCTTATCATCCCTCGTACCTTGAATTTGTTATAGCGAGCGTATTTGCATAACCCATCATAAAAGCCTCCTAAACGATCAATAGCTTTGTAATTGTCTTCATTTTCTACAGTGCACCAGTTTTCACGGCTTTTCAAAAGCTCTCCATCCCTTTGTGTGGCGATACAGCTGTCCGAGAGCTGAATGTTGAATCTCACTGACAAGTAAGCATCTTCAAGTTGCTTGATATTACTCATCAACCTTGTTTCTGTATCATTTGCAGAGGCTATCTTTGAGGATGCATCTAAACTTGCATTCTCTCCATTGGTATATGAACCCACTGATTTAATGGGTCGCCGATTTTCAATCTCTCGAATATCAGCTTCTATGCACTGGATTTGTTCCACTAAATCAGATGCATCCTTCTGTTTTAGCTCATTCAATGATAAAAGAAAATGTAACAACAAATCCGAAACCTCGTCTTCTTCATCAATGGATGACAGTACCTCGCTTCCATTCAATTCTTCAGTTGCATTCATAAATTCAGAGTGCAAAATTTCTCTGTTATGCAATTAGTTATTAAAGTCACTGATCACTCACAACCCAAAAGGTCTGAAACCAATTCACATACCGTCAGCTGCAGAAAGAAAATCTTAAAAATGCCGATAAAAAGAAACACCGTGATGCCTAAAATCTACATGATCCTTCATGAATACTTACTCTGAAATGTGAGGTTATGGCATTGGTCACTTTCTTAAGTTCCTATAATCTATTGCATCATTGTTTAGTCCAACATATTATAGCCGTCTGTATAACTTATTTATTCATCCAAATACATTTTATCATTTTCCTTCTTTCTTTCTCTCTCTCTTTTTTTTTTTCATATTCTTCATTAACCTCCGTAGCCAAGTCATAATCAGATCGTCATACGAAATTTGACTGATATTGTAATTTACAAGCAACCGATAAGACATAAGGTAAGGATCCTGGTGAATACATTATGAACTCTGAAGTCCTAAATAGAGATAATGAAAGTACCTGGTTGATGGGCGTAAAGAAGGCTCAGGATGAAGTAACCAAAGACAAAATCCAGCTTCCTTGGGATTCTCCAAAAGAAACCTAGGTGGAAGAATCCTATGAATTAAATCATTCATTGCAGCAATATGTGAGCTTCCAGAATCACCTGCGGCAAGTAACTGGAAGTACAGTCCGTATTAGTGCAAAAACAAAAAAAATGCCTCTGAAGATAATGATTACTTGAACCCATAAGCATAAACTTCGAATGGTTAATAACATTTTAAAAACTATGACATCAGAGTTCTAAGTCCTAATGAAGAAACAGTTCAATCACTCATAAATTTCTCCTGGAGCCCAGATTTTCTTCTAGATCCCCGTTTCTAGAAAGTATGACGCCATATATCATGGTCTATTATCTCTATATGGCACTAAGATCTACAAAATGATATCTAAATTGTTTTTGAACTACGAAGTTAGAAGATGGTCTCCACATACAACCGCAATTCTCATCTTTATGAAATTATAATCACTGTCATGAAAATAAATCATGATTTTATAATTATGGATGTCACCTCCAGAGGTGTCTGTTAAGAGTTTAGCACAGTAAAGAAAAAGGACACAAGTCATTCATGAAGACACGAACCTCAAATAGAAGGACTCCCAAGCAATAGATATTTGATGCAAGGGTGCAGCCTTTCTCATTGAACAACTCAGGACTCGAATACCACTTCTCTTCCAACATAAAACTTGTGGGTCCCCGTAATACATGTGCTGCATTAGAAGCATTATTGCTGAAATTTTTTCTGAGGCACTTAATCTCAGCCCTATGATTGTTCTCTTCATCTAAATTACTGCTGACTTTCTGAGTGTGGGCTCTCTCTACACCGGAAATACTTAAAGAAGCTGTTCTAATGGCGGACCTTGATGGAAACTGGGGCC